ATGTCATGGCTACCGGCGCACGCTGAATCTACCGTTTGCGCACGACTCCAGTTGTCTCGTGGCCATCGCGCGTTTGTGGACATCCCACGTTGCGAACATGCCCTGTCTGTTTCGGTCATTGCAGCGCGTGACGGGTGCCCCATCTCTCTGGCGGACAGATATGCACAAGAGTGGAAGAAATTGCTAGAGCAAACACCAAGTTGTGTCATGAACAGTGGTGCAGCGTTCCGAACGTTTCTCGCCAGTCGGAGTTTTTTGGGGCGCGTTAACTCATCCTGTTTTGAAACCAATGGCCAGAGCCCTGACGATGACGAAGGGAGAGAGGATCTGTGGCTTTTTACACCCTGGCAAGCTCCAATGAATCCCCCCATTAGCGCAGTCAACGATCGCAGACGGCCTGGCGGAGATCTGCCACCCGCTGTAGTACAAACGCCACCAGGCCAGAATCTCCCTGTGGTATCCCGCAACATAACGCCATCGTTTGGGGTAGGACAAAGGCTGCAGCAAGGGGTTACTCTACCGCATCTGAAGCAGTCTGGCCCTGACGAGCCGGCACGTCTAAGTCAAGAAGCAGCCCGATTCTGACCTGACGAGTCGTGCCAGGCAGCGGACGAACCATAAGGCAGTAACTGAGTTCCAAAGGAGAGAGTTTGAACACCCACAACTCTTGAGTTGGAGCCTCGACGGTCCCCGTGGGGAGGAGGGGTGTTGGCTGGGGATTGCGACCAGACGACGAGCGGGTACAGGGAACACGGGATCCAGTTGGTCCCGCAACTCCTCTATTGCAATCTCCTAATCCTCTAGTCATGGAGTCACATCGTTTTGGACCACTGTCGATGCTCCCTCCTGTTTGAAGCCAAGCATCATGGGCGCAGCTCCGCATCGGCCAATGCCGGTCTCCCACTCGTCTGATCGATCACGAAGACCTTTCCTATCTGCCAAGTTTTGAGGGTTTGTTGTGGGTCCTTGATCATCTTCACCACGGCCCTGTGTGTGTTACGTCGGCTTGCATCTGCTGCAGTTCCGATTCCCCGGCTTACCTGCAGCCACTTGATGTCTAGCTCTCAGCCGACATTTCTCGCGCGCGTCAGCAGCAGTATTTGGTGGTCTGCGGCAGTCAGCTAGCTCGTCCGTCAGAAGAAAAGCCCAAACATGTTTGCGTCCAGCTTTCGAGACCCTAGGCAGCGCCACCAGGCGGCAGGTAGGTAGCGGGAAGGCCTGGGCACGTCAGTGTGCACGGAAATATGTCTGCCGTTGGCGCAGGATGCAACCCAGCCCTGCGTGATACCTATGTAGGTATGCGCTGATCAGGTGGATCGTGTCACTTTCACGCTTGCGCCCGATATCTTGGCCCCAATCCCCTATCACTTCTACAGACCAACGCTGTACCTCGGTCCTCATTCATCCGTAGCCAAGGGTAGCGAAGGGAGACATGCTGTTACAGTGTTCATCCACCCAACTTGCCAACCTGGCTCGGTTGACGGGATGAGAAAGCGCAGACGACGAAATCGTACACACCAGGCTCTTGGCATTCAGGATCAAGGCTCCGCGCCACGCCACTAATTGCAAAAACAACATACCTGTGTCGAGAATGGTTCAGTAGCCAGGCAACCACAACCAACAGCTGATGCGCATGACGATTTCAAATGTAAAGTCACCCGCGAACGTCAAATCAGCAGGTCACGGCGTCAGCGAACTACATGCAGGCCGTCGGAATCTGATGGGTAATCGACTTATTTCAATCTCCATGCACATACTACATGCACGCGACGCCCGAACAAGTGATTTGCAGCCGTGGTGGAAGGCATCGCCCCAACCAGAATATGCAGTCACGCATCAGTGTGCCTCTGGTGCCGGAAGTGAACATCTCCAGAATCCCGAATGCCCCAACATGACGGTCACCGTGATAAACGCTGCATAGGCGTTGTGCCCTGGAGGCGGCCCGGAATCTGGACAGGCAGCTATCACCCTGACGGCCGTCGTACGGCAGGTTTGGAGCGAGGCTCTTCTAAACGTTAATGGATTGCCCACGACAGCCGTGCTCGCCCATCATCCAAATGCTTCTAGACACTGCCACGACCTAGACCAGCTGAACACATGGGGGGTGATACGCACCGAGCACGAGCGACGCACTCCAGGCGGTTGGGGTTTAATTCGAGTATTCCAACCAGTATCCTAAGATTGCCTCCTTCGGGATTGGTGTTTCGCAACCGCTCTGCAGGCAAAGAAGCGTGTGCGCATGTAAATGGATGGTGCGGCTACATCATGGCTCATTCCTACCCGTAGGCGGGGAAATAAACATACTCTGAGATGACAGCGCCTGGTCAGGCCATTCTCATCCAAATAGAGATGACAATGGGGTCCTCACGTAACGTTCCATCGTTGCATATACCACCAAGGAGGGCCGTGGAGCCTAGCATCCGAATGGGGTGAGGAACGACGGGAAGACGATACGTAAATCACATGCCTACGCTTATGTAACGCCAGTGGGGTATCATGATCACATGACAAAATCAAGGATTGGGAAGGCTGGCATCGGCTTACGCTGACTGATCCAACGCCTCCATTTCCCATGACTTTTACGCACTGCATCTGCTTGGAGGAAGACTTCACGAAGCTGATTCGCTGTTGCCCCGCCTGTACCCCTCTACGACCCCTCTGCCCCTCCATTGCGCCGTGCCTTACGGCAAGCTTCCTAAATGATTCCACGGCGGTTCCAGCAGTCCACTTGTCGTCCGAGGCTGGCTGTTATCTCTTCTTCACCTTCACGGAATCGGATCAGCCATCCGATCTCACTTCATCCCTCTGTCCCGATCTCGCAATCTAGACCACTCTCGGTGCGAGCACCCGTCTCGACCACAACACGGCGGTGCCAGTTTACATCATCGATCAAGACTGCCAGCATGTCGGACTACGAAACCATCCTCAAGGGCAAGTACCCTGCTAAAGACCACGCGAAGCGTGTCGCGGATCACATCCGTTCCAAGGTCCCTGGTGCCAATGGCATTCTCTACCTCGAAGGTCGACACACGAAGTTGGAGGAGGATAGCGACCATCCGGAACCCTTCAGGTATGCATGTTCACGCATTTGATTATCAGTCCGACACCGTTGCTGAGTAGGATATCAGGCAGCGCCGTTACTTCTTCTACCTTACCGGCTGTATCCTAGCCGACTGCCACTATATCTTCGACCTAAAAACCTCGCAATCGACACTCTTCATCCCTCCCGTCGACCCTGAAGATGTCATCTGGTCCGGTATGCCCATGACCGCGGAGGAAGCCAAGGAGAAGTATGACATCGACAATGTATTATACACCAACGAAGTCAATGCAGAGCTCGCGAGGCTGGGCAAAGGCTCGGGTTCAACTGCCTTTGCCATCGCCAACCAGGTTCTGGACACTGTGAGCTTCATTGGATTCGAAGATAAGAATTTTGATGTGCTCAAAGGAGCCATCGAGGAATGCAGGGTGGTCAAAGATGATTACGAGGTCGCCCTGACGAGGAAAGCCAACGCCATCTCTACTACGGCTCATCACGCCGTGATGAAGGCCGTCAACACGGCCAAGAATGAGCAGGAACTTGAGGCGATTTTCCTGGAGAGATGTTTCGCACATGGGGCCAAGAACCAGGCCTACCATGCCATTCATGCTGCCGGTCGCGCTGCAGCCACTCTTCACTATGTCCACAACAGTGCACCCCTCGATGGCAAACTGAACGTTCTGCTTGATGGTGGTGCCGAATGGGACTGCTATGCTTCGGATATTGTGAGGACTGGATATGCGCAAATGCTGAATATCGAACTAACTACCGCCACAGACTCGCACCTTCCCCATCTCTGGCAAATTCTCCAAAGAGTCACGCGCTATATACGACATCGTTTTGAAGATGCAGCTCGAGTCCATCAAGGTGCTCAAGGAGGGTATCCTTTGGGACGACGTTCATGAACTGGCTCATAAGATCGCCATTGAGGGTCTGCTAGATCTGGGTATTCTCAAGGGTGAAGCGGATGAGATCCTCAAGGCGCGCACCAGTGTGGCCTTCTTCCCCCACGGTCTAGGACATTACCTCGGCATGGACACCCACGACGTCGGCGGAACTCCCAACTACGCCGACTCGGATCCCATGTTCCGGTATCTTCGCAAGAGGGGCACCTTGCCAGCTGGCAGTCTCGTCACTGTCGAGCCGGGCATCTACTTCTGCAGCTTCATCATCGAGCCCTACCTGAAGGATCCCACCCATTCCAAGTACATTGATACCGACGTACTCGATAAGTACTGGGACGTTGGTGGTGTGAGGTAAGCGTTGACATGCTGTCTCGTCTGATCCAATATGCTAACGCGCTTCTGAAGAATTGAGGACAATCTCCTCATCACCAAGACTGGCAGTGAAAACCTGACGCCAACGATCAAAGAGCCAGAGGAAATTGAGAAGTTTGTTGGCTCGAGCTAGTGTAAGACGTATACCCATGACTTTTTGTCATCGCCGTGGAATGCCTCGTAAAGGCCATTCTGCAATTGAACACGAGTGACACGTACTTGCTCTGACGGGTAAACACATCGTTTTGTCCCTTGACTTGGCTAGCATCTACGTGTAAATGAAGATACTGCGTAGGGTTCGATACAATCAGTGAATGCGCCTTCACCCGCTTTTTTAATTGATGTATGAGACGCAAGTAGTAAGCCGTGGCGCTCGACGCAAAGGCAGCGGCGCACCGTCACCAGAATGACTAGAACGGCGGGGAGATATGGAGCGGAGGCGGGAAAGCTGACTGAGCCACCTGCCTGCCCATCGCCTGAGTTTTGTCCCACTGCAGACGCACTGTAAACGCCCAATACCTCTGAAAGGTTTGGACAATCTCGTTATCATTTTAACTCGCACGACCTCCAGTCTGATGATCTCGCCAATCATCTTGGCATTGCCATTGACATTGCTGGTCGCCGCCTGTCCAAATCCTACCTTGACGCCCCCGTCCCTGTTTTCCTCACCAGTGTCGACTACAATGGCCCCCAAGTTTTTCATCCCACTCGAGTCGAATCCAGATGTCTTCAATGCACTGATCGCCTCCCTTGGGATCTCCTCGAATTTGCGTTTCCGGGATGTCTGGACGCTCGAGGACACGAGCGAGTTGCTCTCTGTACCCGTGCTAGCCCTTGTGCTTGTGTTTCCCACGACACCAGCGTACGATGCCCGGGCGCAGACCGACGATGCCGACGCGGACGACTGGATGGTGACGCACCAAGAGGAGGACGAAGATGCTATGTGGTTCAAGCAGACAATCCATAACGCGTGTGGGTTGTATGCAATTTTGCATGCGCTCGCCAACGGCCGTGCGAAAGATTTCATCCGTTAGTTTTTACCCTATTCGATGGTCTCTCATTCATTCTCAATATGCGTTGCGTGATCGCTCACTCTCACATAGAGCCTGGCTCGGTGCTCGATACACTCTTCTCTATCACTGCTCCTATGGATCCTGCGCAGGCCGCCATGGTCCTCGAGACGTCAAAAGAACTCGAGACCGCATATGACAGCGTCGCCAAGCAGGGAAGCACCGCAGCGCCGCCTGCAGAAGACGAAGTCAACCATCACTACGTATGCTTCGTCAAGTCCCCCGATACGGGGCACCTATTCGAACTTGATGGTGACCGGAAGGGCCCTGTTGACAGGGGTGTCATTGATGAGGAGCAGCGTGTTGATCTGGGACCCCAGTCGTTGGAACTCGTTAGAGAGTATATAAAGATGGGCGAGGGTGATGTCAACTTTTCCTTGATGGCCTTGGTCGAGGATACAAGCTAAACGGCTTCTGCACGTTGCCTCTCAACAGTTCCACATCGCCATACCATGTTCACAATCAATACTCTTGCACTCAGTAATTTATGGCATGGATTGCTATGAGGCATACACGAACTATTCCATTCCATGCCTGTGGTTCCTCTGATGCGAGTAGACTACGATCCCAAACAATCTGCATCGCTCGCCATTCCTAGTGCATAGACATCACTTAGCAATGCCGTCCATACTTATACCCTCGCCTCCTAAGACCATCAATACCGGATCTTGAATGAAGTCCAATGCCAAGACTGACGGCCGTAGGATTCGGATTGAGAGCCCAGAAAGCGTGATGGATCAAATGCCAGTCGCGTTAGTGCCAGAGCACGAACCGGTCATATCCTGACGAAGGTTTTGGCTATCAATCGCTGCATTGATTGCAGTTTGGTCGTCCAAGATATACTGACAATCAGAATCGAAACTGTCAGATTCCAAATCTGTGCTCTGACAATCAATTTCGAAGACACCGAGAGAAGGTTTCTGCGCGACTTCGTCATCGCCATCGTCGCCAGGAATCTCGTTCCCAGGCGAGGCCCGTACAGGGACAGGACTTATGACAGGAAGAACTCTTCGGGATGGCTCAAGGGGACGAAGAGTCTCCTGGCCCTGAGGAGCAGAAATGAGTAACTTGGTGCTCGAATAAGAATGTGACGCTTTCTCAAGTTTTGCGTCGAGTCGCTGAATGCACGGCCGCTGACGGACCTCTTCATTCGGCAGTGTTGTGGATTTCAGACGTGACAAATCTTTCTGCTGGGAATTCTTAGTAGCGGTAGTGAAAAAACGGCTCTTCTGTACAGTGGACTTGATCCACGGGCTTGTTGAGTTAGGTTGTGCCTCGAAATAGGAAGCCATGTGTTGACGACGAGTGATGTGCGTCCCAACGAGGACTGCCCAAGGGCTGTCCATGCAGGCTATAAGACTTAGATTGTACCCTCCCCCAGGAAGACACAAAGGGCTTTGAAATGTATCTGCAGTGTGCAGTGTATTCTGCTGCTGATTCGTGGCTTGGGTCATGATGTATTACGCCTAGGTAGCGAAGATATGCCTTCGAATGTACAATATCAGGAGGTTCTTTCGTGCCCGAAAGTACACTGTTAAACTGAAGCTGCTTTGGGCTGTCTAGTTGCAATCTTAATATGTTGCGTACCATGAAACCGATGGCCTGGGAGAGCAGGTGGCTCTTCTTATATGATCTCTAGAGAGCTATCTCCGATCCCAGCCCATGGAGAACAAAACCTTCTCCAGATCTGGAAAGTCAAACTGACATACCCGTGTGGGTTCAATAACTCACAATGACTTTAGGTTTCTTATGGTACCTGTTTACTTCCAGGGCTATCATGGGCGAGGAAGAAGCGGGTATGGCTAGCACCTTCGGATTGAGGGCTTTGCCATCATGACTGTGACGTCCTTCACCAACCAGCGATGTCACAATTTCCAAAACCCGACGTACGATAGAGGTAGCATTAGGTTGTTAGTATCACGCTGAGCGGCAGATGAGATAGGTTCGAGTGCCAAGTTCTTTGGTGAGCTATCCAACCAAGGATGACCCGGAAAGCGTGCCTGAACTCCTGATGTGCAGTGGTTCATAAATATCACTTTGGATTCAAGGGCATGTACCCCTCACTTGCAAAGCCTGTATTTCGGCTGCCCAGATATCTGGCGATGGCGATGGGAGCTGTAGTCTCTGGACGCGTGTGTGCCTGAATTGACAAGCTCTACAGCTGATGCACCGCATTTTAGCCGACGGCAAGCGGGGCGCATCATTGGGATCGGAAGCGTGCTAGTCACGGATGTACTAGCACCCTCGTGCATGAGCTCCAGAAAAATATTCAACACATTGGGCCAGGCAGTCCTGGACCGAAAGCAACACCACGCATCACTCATGCGAGACACAAGCTGCTTGCTGCGAAGATTATGGCTTCCGATCCAAACCCTTTGTCAGAGTCTGCCGCTGCGCGCCCGCGCTCGACACCACGATGGATGGTGGCTCGAATGGGACCGATTCTGCGCCCCGCGCGGCGCGACCTACCACAGGTGAGACTGGTCACCTGCGCCGCGAGGAGGCGCCAAAGCCAGGAGCGTGTATGATAGAGCAGCACAGCAGCAAGAAGAACAGCAGGCGTCGTATGATGCGTAAGCTTGTTTCCTGTCTCGGCTACCACGCCTTGTAACCCAGCTCAAACTGACGTCAGCGCCAGATGAATGACAAGCGCAAGCAGCTGGGTGATGCCAGACAGGCCAAGCGACGCAAACTCGACGAGAACGGCAACACAATTGATGCAGACAAATGAAACCGAAGAGGCTGTTGTGGTCGATCCTCGAAAAGGCGAACCCCTTCTCGACCACCGAAATCGCGGCTGAAAGAGCGACGCCCGAAGCGCAAGTTGCTGTCATGGTCGCTACTCAGGGACCGGGTACTACGGCCTGCAGATCAACTGGGACGAGAAGACGATCGAGGGAGATTTGTTCAAGGCCTTCATTGCTGCAGGTGCCATCTCCAAGGCAAACGCAGATGATCCCAAGAAGTCGAGTCTTTCGCGCTGCGCGAGGACTGACAAGGGCGTGCATGCCGCTGGCAACCTGATCAGTCTCAAGCTCATCATCGAAGACGACGACATTGTCGATAAGATCAACGCGCACCTACCTGACCAGATCCGAGTCTGGGGCCTCCAGCGAACGAGCAATTCCTTTAGCGCTTACCAGGCCTGTGACTCTCGATGGTACGAATACCTACTGCCGACATACTGCCTACTTCCCTCCCACCCAGACAGCTTCTTGTGGAAGAAGCTCGTCGAATCCGCACAAGAGAAGGGGTACTACAATGACTTCCAGTCCCAATTGGCCGATGTGGATGGCTTCTGGGCCGAGGTCGAAGAGCAGGCGATCAAGCCTATCCTGGAACGATTAGACCCCCAAGTCAGGGCTGAGGTTTTGGAAAGAATCCACGCGTCAGATGACCACCCTGAGTCGGCGCTCAAGAAGTCGGCGCCAAATGATGCCATGCAAGTGGACCCTCCTGCTACCGCCGTCGCGGGCGAGGCGACGAGCGGCGAAGATACCAGCACCACAGCAACCACTGGCAAGACGAAGAATCTTGGTCCCGTGGATTTTGCCCTGCGAGACATGAAAAACGCCTATGTCAAAGCGAAGAGGGCGTACCAAGTGACAAATGAGCGTCTCGACCAGCTGCAAGCGGCTCTCGATCAATATGTTGGCACCTACAACTTCCACAACTACACGATTCAGAAGAGCTTCAAGGACCCCTCTGCCAAACGCCATATCAAGTCTTTCCAGGTCAATAAGACACCGATCCAGATCCGTGATACCCAGTGGGTGTCCATCAAGGTCCACGGACAGAGCTTCATGATGCACCAAATCCGCAAGATGATCAGCATGGCGACCCTCGTCGTTCGTTGCGCTACGCCTTTGACGAGGATCAAGGAGAGCTACGGCGAAGATCGAAT